CTGCCTGCTGCTACCTGCTGCTTGCTGCTGCCTGCCTGCTGCTCCTTGCTGCTGCCTGCTGCTGGTGCTGCTGCTGGTGGCTGCTGCTGCTGCTGCTGTGTTGCTGCTGCAATCAAACAGCCTCCAATGCAAGAAACAAACAGCCAGACACCCTTTTCGAAACACATCCGAAACAGCAAAACACCACCTAATTTCGTGCCCAAAACGTAGCAAAGGAACCCCAAAAAGGGCCTAACGTCACTTCTGAAACCCTACTATAAAATTGCAACTTTGCCGCTGCCTGCCGCTGCCTGCTGCTGCTTGCTGCTGCCTGCTGCTGCCTCTGCTGGTGTCTGCTGTGCCGCTGCCTGCTGCTGCCTCTGCTGGTGTCTGCTGCTGCCTGCTGCTGCCTGCTGCTGCCTGCAGCTGCCTGCGGCTGCCTGCGGCTGCCTGCCTGCTGCTCCCTGCTGCCTGCTGCTGGTGCTGCTGCTGGTGGCTGCTGCTGCTGCTGCTGTGGTGCTGCTGTGGTGCTGCTGCAATCAAACAGCTTCCAAAGCAAGAAACAAACAGCCAGACACCCTTTTCGAAACACATCCGAAACAGCAAAACACCACCTAATTTCGTACCCAAAACGTAGCAAAGGAACCCCAAAAAAGAGCCTAACGTCACTTCTGAAACCCTACTTAAAATTGCAACTTTGCCGCTGCCTGCCGCTGCCTGCTGCTGCCTCTGCTGGTGTCTGCTGCTGCCTGCTGCTGCCTGCTGCTGCCTGCTGCTGCCTGCTGCTGCCTGCGGCTGCCTGCGGCTGCCTGCCTGCTGCTCCCTGCTGCTGCTGCTGTGGTGCTGCTGCTGCCTGCCGCTGCTCCCTGCTGCTGCCTGCTGCTGGTGCTGCTGCTGGTGGCTGCTGCTGCTGCTACTGTGGTGCTGCTGTGGTGCTGCTGTGGTGCTGCTGCAATCAAACAGCCTCCAAAGCAAGAAACAAACAGCCAGACACCCTTTTCGAAACACATCCGAAACAGCAAAACACCACCTAATTTCGTACCCAAAACGTAGCAAAGGAACCCCAAAAAAGGGCTTAACGTCACTTCTGAAACCCTACTGTAAAATTGCAACTTTGCCGCTGCCTGCCGCTGCCTGCTGCTGCTTGCTGCTGCCTGCTGCTGCCTCTGCTGGTGCCTGCTGCTGCCTGCTGCTGCCTGCTGCTGCCTGCAGCTGCCTGCTGCCTGCTGCTGCCTGCTGCTCCCTGTCTTTTTCTCAATCTTTTCCACTTTTTCAATCTCCCACCAGCTCACCTGCTGCTGCTGCTGCCCAAAAGCACCTGCTGCTGCTAACAGAAGAGTATCAAAAGCACCTCCCGGCACCAAAACAGCAAGGCACGGAAGGACGAACAGGCCCTGCAAGCCGAACTTCGCGTCGGACGCTTATCCGAAGACAACCATGCATTCCTACATGGCCGACCCACAAGAGGTCCGGGAAGCTGGTGCACAAAAACTCAGCAGCCTACCTGCGGAGAAAATACATGCTATCGCTTCTGCTGCTGCTGCTGCTGCTGCTGCTGCCGCTGCTGCTGCCGCTGCTCTTGCTGCTAGTGCGGCTAAACTTGCTTGTCTTTGCTTGTCTTATTCCCTGGCGCGCTCCCCCTTGCGTCTGCCGGGGTCGGCGGATAATAGAATAGAACTGGTGCTATGATCTCATTACACAACAAAAGTTCCTATGGATGAGGCAAACACCCTTCAGCAGCACACTACCACATCGAGTCGTTCGCAACGGCAGTATCTTAGTGTCACCTTTTAATCGCCCCCATAATAACACTACGAACGCAGAATCAGATCATCGTATATTGCTGTCTTTGTTCGTCAACATAGGTAGTGGGGGTCTGTATCTCATCTTCTCATCTTCACACCTTCTCATCTTCACACCTTCTCATCTTCACACCTTCTCTCACACCTTCTCTCACACCTTCTCATTTTCACATCTGCTCATCTTCACATCTTCTCTCACATCTGCTCGCACATCTGCTCATCTTCACATCTTCTCTCACATCTGCTCATCTTCACATCTGCTCATCTTCACATCTTCTCTCACATCTGCTCATCGTCACAACTGCTCATCTTCATATCTTCTCTCACGTCTGCTCATCTTCAAATCTGCTCATCTTCATATCTTCTCTCACATCTTCTCTCACATCTTCTCTCACATCTTCTCTCATCTGCTCATCTTCATATCTTCTCTCACATCTTCTCTCACATCTGCTCATCTTCACATCTGCTCATCTTCACATCTGCTCATCTTCTCTCACATCTTCTCTCACATCTCCTCTCACATCTTCTCTCACATCTGCGCATCTTCACATCTGCTCATCTTCACATCTCCTCTCACATCTTCTCTCACATCTGCTCATCTTCGCATCTGCTCATCTTCACATCTTCTCTCACATCTGCCCATCTTCACATCTGCTCATCTTCACATCTGCTCATCTTCACACCTTCTCTCACATCTTCTCACCTTCACATCTTCTCTCCTTTCTCTCTCCTTTTTCTCTCTCTCTCGCCTTCTTTATCTTTCTCTCTTTAGGCCCAGGGTGGTACCGGCGGTGAGTCACGAAACGTCAACCCTTTCGCACGAAATGAGGGTCGATCGGCAAAAACTGATGTAAAATTGCGATTTTACTTGTGTAAAATTGCGATTTTACTTGTGCCGGAGCAACCCTTTCGCACGAAATGAGGGTCGATCGGCAAAAACTGAGGTAAAATTGCGATTTTACTTGTCCTGGAGCAACTCTTTCGCACGAAATGAGGGTCGATCGGCAAAAACTGAGGTAAAATTGCGATTTTACTTGTCCTGGAGCAACTCTTTCGCACGAAATGAGGGTCGATCGGCAAAAACTGAGGTAAAATTGCGATTTGACTTGCCCCGGAGCAACCCTTTCGCACGAAATGAGGGTCGATCGGCAAAAACTGAGGTAAAATTGCGATTTGACTTGCCCCGGAGCAACCTTTTCGCACGAAATGAAGGTCGATCGGCAAAAACTGAGGTAAAAGTGCAATTTTACTTGTGCCGTTCTTGTCTGTGTGTAAAAGTGCCTGTGTGTAAAAAGCGTCTGTGTGTAAAAGCGTCTGTGTGTAAAAGCGTCTGTGTGTAAAAGCGTCTGTGTGTAAAAGTGTTTGTGTGTAAAAGTGTTTGTGTGTAAAAGTGTTTGTGTGTAAAAGCGTCTGTGTGTAAAAGCGTCTGTGTGTAAAAGCGTCTGTGCGTAAAGTAAAAGCGTCTGTGTGTAAAAGCGTCTGTGTGTAAAAGCCTCTGTGTGTAAAAGTGTTTGTGTGTAAAAGCGTCTGTGTGTAAAAGCGTCTGTGTGTAAAAGCGTCTGTGTGTAAAAGTGTTTGTGTGTAAAAGTGTTTGTGTATAAAAGCGTCTGTGTGTAAAAGCGTCTGTGTGTAAAAGTGTTTGTGTAAAAGTGTTTGTGTGCAAAATCGTCTGTGTGTAAAAGCGTCTGTGTGTAAAAGTCTCTGTGTGTAAAAGTCTGTGTGTGTAAAAGTCTCTGTGTGCAAAAGCGTCTGTGTGTAAAAGCGTCTGTGTGTAAAAGGCTCTGTGTGTAAAAGCGTCTGTGTGTAAAAGTGTCTGTGTGTAAAAGAGCCTATGTGTAACAAGCGTCTGTGTGTCAAAGCGTCTGTGTGTAAAAGCGTCTGTGTGTAAAAGCGTCTGTGTGTAAAAGCGTCTGTGTGTAAAAGCTTCTGTGTGTAAAAGCGTCTGTGTGTAAAGGAGTCTGTGTGTAAAAGCTTCTGTGTGTAAAAGCGTCTGTGTGTAAAAGCGTCTGTGTGTAAAAGAGTCTGTGTGTAAAAGCGTCTGTGTGTAAAAGCGTCTGTGTGTAAAAGTGTCTGTGTGTAAAAGCGTTTGTGTGTAAAAGTGTCTGTGTGTAAAAGCGCGTCTGTGTGTAAAAGCGTCTGTGTGTAAAAGCGTTTGTGTGTAAAAGCTTCTGTGTGTAAAAGCTTCTGTGTGTAAAAGCGTCTGTGTGTAAAAGCGTCTGTGTGTAAAAGTGTTTGTCTAAAAGTGTTTGTGTGCAAAATCGTCTGTGTGTAAAAGCGTGTGTGTGTAAAAGTCTCTGTGTGTAAAAGTCTCTGTGTGTAAAAGTCTCTGTGTGCAAAAGCGTCTGTGTGTAAAAGCGTCTGTGTGTAAAAGGCTCTGTGTGTAAAAGCGTCTGTGTGTAAAAGTGTCTGTGTGTAAAAGAGCCTATGTGTAACAAGCGTCTGTGTGTAAAAGCGTCTGTGTGTAAAAGCGTCTGTGTGTAAAAGCTTCTGTGTGTAAAAGCTTCTGTGTGTAAAAACGTCTGTGTGTGCAAAAGTCTCTGTGTGTAAAAGTGTTTGTGTGTAAAAGTGTTTGTGTGCAAAATCGTCTGTGTGTAAAAGCGTCTGTGTGTAAAAATCTCTGTGTGTTAAAGTCTCTGTGTGTAAAAGTCTCTGTGTGCAAAAGCGTCTGTCTGTAAAAAGTTCTGTGTATGAAAAACATGAAAAACTTTACAAAAATACGATGCAAACTATTGTCTTGTACTAGTCATATATTGTCTTGATACTACTCTTCTCGTCTGCCTATAATACATCTTTTATATAGTGTCTCCATACTAACAACAGAAGACTCTGCTCCTCTACGCTCTCGGGCCATCCGTCGTCTAGTATGTATATTGCAGCATGTGTAATCATATGTACACATCTCGTCTCAGCTTGCCTCAGTCCGAGGATGACCATGTCAACGTTGACTTTTGTAGATGTAGATGCAGGAAGCTCCTGTTTGTTCTGAGGCTTTCAGAAGTTAGGTCAACAGCCATGACTCCAAAACTCACATCTGGATTTGAGATGGTACATGTCGCAGATTAGTGAGCGTTTCAGTGGCACTCATGCACTATAGATGCAGATGGAGTACAGTGGCTGTAACCCTGAGAGAAAATCTGTTAACCGCAAATCTGTTTTACAATTTGTCTTCAGCCGCCATTTCCTTCTCACAAGCGCTGCAGCAAACAGCGCTCTTTCTCTATGTTTTCGTGCTTAACACACCTCACCCAGCCTTTCGCTTTGCAAATTTTGCCACCCAGGTCCCAACGGCCTGTTTATCAACACAGACGATTACCCGACAGCTACAGAAATCCGACCCTGCATCGTCTTCTCAGATTCGTCCAGTGGACAAGGCACAGTGAAGGTCCGCCTCAGGCGAACAGACGCTGCAGGTGGCACGATTTTCTACGAGGACCCAGGTGGGTGACTGGGGTTGTTAGATTCACTTATATAGATTATGTTGGATATGTTAGTTTTCATAGACAAAGGCTCCAGCAATACAACCCCATGATTGGTAATTGCGAGTGACGAACGATATTACGTAGCACATACAGGCACTGCATTCATGAAAGTTGTTCACAAGGTGCAAATTCCCAATCTCCAAAAACAAGTGAGCACAAACCTACTGAACCAAGCTTTGAAAAGAGCCAAGCCTGCACTGGGACTCCTTTTTGGTACTAGTATGTTTGGATGTGCGAAATGAATTCAATGAATGAATCATTGAGGATTCAAGGCGTTATCTAAGGGTCAAGAATTGGGCATCCCCAAACCAATTGTGCATCAGAGTCTGAATGACTGACTCTTATTTGATTTTGTCCACAAATAGGATATCCCTAAATCCATTGGTTTATCACCTTTTTCGTCCATTTTCCCTCTGAAAATTGCTATGAATTGGGGAATATTGTAAATGCCCCATTTCCATATCCTCACTTGTCGTATTTCCAGGATGATTTTGGCGGGACTTATTCAGGGAGTGGCTTGTACCACGTGACGTGTGGCGCTTGGCGGTCGGTGGCGTCCATTTCTTGTGGAACGAGCTGGGTCAACACCTGTCAATTGGATGTTACTTGGAGGTTTGCTTTGCCAAATTGGATGGGGTCGGATACGTGTGCTTAATTGTTGGTTTGGTCTATGTCTTATCATGTCTTATCTATGTTCAAACAAACAGGTGGCTTTCCAAAGGAGTGTGGCACTGAGACTGTCCAGTTTGTTTGGGCGGATGCACCCATTTCGCCGTCCGATGGTCGTGACTAAGGCAATGCATGGCCAGGCTGTAAGCACCACCATCAGCAGTTACTTCATGGAGTTCCGTGTTGCATTGGCTCGTGACGTTTGTCGCTTCGCGCCGGTGATCACTCGCATGGCCGGCAACACAGCGGAACTTTTCAAGATTGGATCGTGGAGCGATTGGCAGTACAGGCAAAGATGCCAGGGTTTGATGTCTAAAATGCGACCACCTGTGGCCTCTGGGCATGAGAAGGTTCCTGAGTTTTTGGTACATTCTAAAGTTTCGAATTTTGTTACCCTCGACTGACCGTGCATGTTAAAAAGACCGCAATGATGCCAATCACATTGCTCAAGGGTGAACCCCGGCCAGGCTCTCAGATGCTCCCATCTATTGTCCAGAGGCGGGACATCGAAAGTGAGAATAGATGGATTAGATCTTGTCAGATTTGTTGGACGTAGATTTTTTATTTGTTTCTGATCAACTGGGATCTTTCGCCAGGGCAAGATCTTGACAGATCTGGATGCGTCCACGGAACACATGCGCTACTCCTGCGGTTCAGTGGCAGGGCTGGGCAGTTGTTCCGAAGGCTTCACGGCACAGGCGGATGTCAAAGATTGGTCGACCTATGCCAACTTGGGCACTTTGTCCATTGTTTGCCCACAGGAGGGGAGCAGAAAACCAGAAACCTCAAGCAACAGCAGCCCCCGCTAGAAAGTGATGTAGGATGATGTAGGGAAATGCGAATTAGAATGATATATCTGATATTATCTGATTATATCTGTATATGTCGCTGTGCATTGTTTGAATATGGAGGGTATATTTTTTTAGGATTTTTTTGTTTTTTTTAAGGATTTTTTTGTTTTTCAGTCTGGAGCAGCTTTCCCTGCTATTTGCTGCTCTTTGGAGCTAAAATCTGTGTTTTGCACGCATTTTGGAGCTAGGATCTCTCATTTGCGCGCCCACTTGGCTTTTGGCTTCAAGTGCCCACTTGGCTTTTTGGCTTTTGGCTTTTTGGCTTTTGGCTTTTGGCTTTGCTCGGGCTTTCTTTTGGCTTTTAGCTTTTGGCTTCACTTTGGCTCTTGGCTTTTGGCTATTGGCTTTTGGTTATTGGCTTTTTGGCGTTTAGCTTTTTTGGGCCATGGCTTTTAGTTTTGGCTTCACTTTGGCTGTTGGCTTTGGGCTTTGGCTTCACTTGGCTTCTGGCTTTTGGCTTTCTGTGGCCCCTTATCTCCTCGATAAGTCAAGAAAAGACATAATCTGGCTTTTGGCTTTTTGGCTTCACTTGGCTTTTGGCTTTGGCTTCACCTGGCTTTTGGCGTATGGTTTTAGCTTCACTTGGCTCTTGGCTATATTGTTTTGAACTACTCCATGTTACGGGAAAGAAGGGAAATAAGACTCTTATTTCCCTTAATATACGTAAAGAAAAGATACATAATGATAGTTGAACTACGTATTCCATGCTTCGGGAAATGAACGCAGGAAAATAAGACCTTTTGGCTTCGGCTTCACTTGGCTCTTGGCTTTGGCTTCACCTGGCTTTTGGCTTTTGGCTTATAATATACGTAAACCCTAAATAAACCCTAAACCAAGCCCTGCATATATATATATATATTAAATACACGTGTAAACGCGCTGATCTACATATACATATAGTCATGATTAGTCATGCATATATCTTTTTACATCTACAATTTGTAGTTTGCACATCGTGTATTTCCAAAAATAAATGAAAACTTTGGAAAAACCATGAAAACCATGTGCCTTATCTGTATTCCACATGTTTCCAGGGTGCATGTTGTGTAGTCTATACACCTTGAGTATCACATTCAACCGAGCACCTTGCATGTGAAAATAGGTGTTTCCAATCTGCTTTGGGGGGGAGGCGCTGCGCCCTTGTTTTTGTTTCGACCTAATACCTACAGAGGTACATGCATGAGTATTGAGCACATTTATATGCGCCCCTCAAGGCTCAAGAGGTAATCTAGAGTAACCCTGTAGACATAGCACTGACCGGCAACAGGCTGAGTAAAAGAGTGCTGTCATTGGGGAAGACGCCTTAGCTGATCTTGAAGTAGACGCTAGGGCCCCTCTTCAAGTGGTAGCGGAGCTGTGATCCCTCATTGAGGGTGAGCTCCAGGTAGAACCCAAGCAATGGCACGCCATGGCTATGATGATGATGACTTCGACATTGTCGATGCAGATGGATGGAACCAATATGACTCTTATGCAATGAGAAGAGCACCCCAGCAGACACAAATTCACATGACGCAACAAATGACCACAAAGGTAGCTCCAGCATATGATGGGAGAACTAGCTTCTTTGCTTTTGAAGATGCAATTGATGACTGGTGTGACATCACGGAGTTAGAACCTGAGAAACGTGGTCCAGCTTTGCGCAATCGACTGGAAGGAGATGCTCTACAATACAAGAGGCTATTGGATAGAGATATGCTCAGGGATCCCAATGAAGGAGTGAACTATTTCAAAAGATTTCTACGACCTCATTTCATCAAAGGTGCCCAGAACGTGTTCTTATACCGTTTCATGCAGTTCATGAAGTTCAACAGAGGAACTATGGATCTTCAGAAGTGGATGACTAGATTTCAACTCACTGGCAATAGACTTATTGAGTCTTGGATGGATTTACTTCCAGAAGCAACAGTGACTAGTCCTGAAGCAATCCTGTTTGTTCAACAAAGACGTCAAGAACATGATCGAGATCAACAAGAAAGAGCTGAAGTAGCAGCAGCCTCAGGAGCAGCTCCTCATGTAGTTGTTCCTTGGTCAGATGAACTGGCATTGGTGGCATTCAGACAATATCAGGAAAATCGTAGACAAGTACAGAGACAAGCATTCCCACTGGGTGAAAATTTGCTAGCATTGATTTTTGTAAGTCTAGCGGACCTGAGTCAAGATCAGAGAAATACACTCACAAGTATCATGACACATCGTGGACGAACCCTCGATCAGTACAACATTCAAGAACTACGTGATCTGTTTTTGGAAATGTTTTGCGCTACCAAAACAGCAGTTGACAATCCAATGATGCAACCCTCTGGCATGGCACAGAGAAGATCTTTCCTCGTACTGGAAGAAGGTGAATTAGAAGGAACCGACGGCTATTGGGCCGAAGATGATGAAGACGGCGCAGAAGGATTCCTGGATGCTTTAGAAGATGTTTTCTGGGTTTATGATGACGCTGACTATACATGGTATCAGAGAAGGTTCCAAGGCAGACGAGGCAAAGGTAAAGGAAAGAGAAAAGGAAAAGGAAAAGGCAGAGGAGGACGAAGGTTCTTCAGATCAAGGAAAGGAAAAGGCCGAGGAAAAGGAAGAAGGAAAGGCCGCTCTCACATGGTGAGTGAAGAAGGTTATGAAGAAGATTGGCAAGAAGAAGAATGGAATGAAAACTATGACGGCTATTGGGCCGATGATCAAACCTGGAATGAAGGCTATTGGGCCAATGATGATCTGTACTACATGGATGAGTATGGATACTTCCAGAAGAAAGGAAAAGGAAAAGGAAAAGGAAAGAAAGGCAAGAAAGGCAAGGATGATGATGGCAAAGGAGGAAAGCCAGGAGATGGAAAAGGCAAGTCAAACTATGTTCAACCTCAGACCACATCAACTCCTGCCATACAGAATCAACAAACTCAACAAGCTCATTATTCTTCTACGGCATCAAGTTCTGGTCATGGTTTCTTTGCATTTGCAAGAACTGAACCATTACGTGTTGATGTTGCAGAGACAGAACCAGCACGTGTTGATGTTTTGACATCCACGTATGTAGCACAAGATGTACAACGACGCACTCGTCGTGGAGGACAGAACCAACGTGATGCAACAGCACAGCAAAACAGGAAGATTCCCTGTTCTGGTTGGAGATCTTGATGCACTTCGACGAGGTGTACAACGACGTCCAGCTCGTGTGCCCAGGCAAGTTGGTCTTCAAGAAGGTGAGGCTTCATGGAAGCCATTGGCAAAAGGCACATCATTGTTTTCATATGGATGCTCTACAGAGATAGAGGAACCATCAGAGCAGAGTGCTTTTTCATTTCATACTGTACAGACTGATCTGGCATGTGAGAAAGGATTAGCTGTTCACACAGAGAATTCTGCACCACCAACTGTGTGTATTCTGGATCTTGGATGCACAAGAGCTATGGGCTCTCGACGAGCAGTTGAAGCATTTTGCAGATATGTTGACTCACATCCCAACAGTGGACTCTGGTATGAAATTCAGACAACAAGTTCAAGATTCTTCTTTGCAAACTCACAACAATCAAAATGTACTGAGAAGCTCGTGATATTCATGTATGATCATGGATGGAACACTCAGTTTACAGAATTCGACATTGTCGAAGAAGGGGATGTCCCATTGTTGATGTCACTTCCACAGATGAGAAACCTTGGATTTCAATTTGAACTTACTCCAGAGAAGGCTTATTTGTCCTGCGCACGTATTGGCATGAGAACAATGGTTTTGAGGACAGCCATCAGTACTCATCTCATTCTCGACCTACAAGATGTAGCATGGTACATGAGCCAAGTTCATTTCAAGCCTCCTCAAGTCAAGAGTTTCTTGTCACAACACGATCACTTTGAGTACAGCCAGATTGCTGTCAAACAAGATGTTCATGAAGAAGAAGCTTCGGTGACTAGTGACTACTGGCAAGTTGATCCACTACGTCGTGAACTCATCAGGCACCACAAGGACAAGAGGAAGAATCTACATGAAATGAATCGATCAGACGAGACTCCAATTCCAAAAGAACAACTTCTTGATGAGAGAGAGACACACCAAGAGTTCCAGAAGAGCAAGAAGAAGGTTCTTCACAAGGACAACTGGCGCACAGACAGGAAGAGGTTTTCTGAACAGAGCGAAGAGTTCTGGAAGGGCAAGACCATCTACAAGATCAAGGAGGACTACGTGATCCCAGATGACATTGTCAGAAGTGACATTGATCGTGCAAAGCCCTTCCGTGGAAACATCGATGATCTTTTTCACCCTGAGTCAGCCTCTTCAGTGCCATCAGGTGTACAGAAAAAGAAGCCACGCTCCTTACAGAAGGAGGAAGGCAAACCGATTTCGCTCGAAAAAGATTGAGGTAGGTCCACCTGCAGCCAAGAGACACGTAGGTAAGCAGAAACCTCAAGTTGTCGATGACTCTCAATCAGGTTCATCAAGAAAGAAGGTTGTTGTCTCCTATCCCAAGCTTGATGATGAAGATGAACTTGACATAAGAGCTAGGGAGTTAGGTTTGGACAAGATTGATTCAGATGAACCTCAAGTCATTGAACCAAAACATTCTGCACCTGCGCGCAACCGTGGTAAGCAAGATTCAGAAAGTCAAGTTGAGAAACTAGGGAGTGATGCTCTTGAGCCTAGGCGAGTTTCGATTCCACTGCCTGGTAGTGAAGTGCAAGCCATGACACCAGCATACAGAAAGATGCTCAGGAAACTGGAGGATAGTGTGGAACTTCACAAGCTTCACATAAAACACTATCACATGTCCCCTACTCAATTCAGACGAAGGACTTCCATGTTAGGACTTCCTGACTCTGTTTATGAGAAGTATGAAGAAATGTACACAAGTGTCGTGTGTGTAGTACTTCAATTGCACCACCGCCGAGAGCCAGAATTTCAGGCATACGATCCACCA